GTGCCACAGTGAACTATAACGTCCATGAGGCAGTCCCATTCTTTCCTATGGATGGGTTCCTTGTGCAGACTACATCTCCCACGAGGCATCCAAGTCTCCTCCTCTCTGACTGCACTGCCTGTATACATTCTGTAGTATATATGTTCTTTCCTCGGCTGGCCGTGCAGTGAGGGCAGGGTTCTTCTGATTCCAGTTGAGAGAGATCGATTGACTTCAGTAGAATTACTTGAGGAATAAGGTGCATATGGGGGCAGAATTGGACCCTTCACATTTAATTACCAATGATTGAGTGCAGGTGGGGCCCCTCTGCTGAGGGATAGCCTATTTCAGAGCTTTGTAGGTTGGCTTCCTGTTGGAGGAGGTAAGTGATGCAGAGTCTGAGTATATTCTTAGTGCAACTTGTTCTATTTACATGCATACACCAGTCCTGGAACAGAGGTGCTCACAAACAGCACACCCCAATTCCCTCTTACAGGGCTTTCAGCCTAAACACTAGCTCCTCAGTGTTACTCTGCCCCAAGAATGGACTCTAGTTACAGAGATTAAAGCAGAGAGCAAACTCTTCTGCTGTTTTCAACAGCTGCTTCAAAAAGAAACTTCATCGTAAAACTAACACAGTGTTTCTTCAAAACTGACCAGTGGTTGCATGCCAAGAAAACTGAAACTATGCACATCGGCACCACCTGGTGATGTCTGCCATAATGCAGCTGTAGTTGAAGGGTGTTTTTCTCCTTCAATACTAACACCCTCTGTTGCAACACTCAGCTATGCCATGTCTTAGCACCCACACTGTGTACACATATTGTGATAAAACCCTCCCTCCCCTCACTGGCTGTTTCTCATGTAGATGAAGGGGTACACCATGGGTAATGTAAAATTATGCTAAATGGCAATTTTAGGGCACAGTAGATTCATTTAAGTTCAGCTTCTTGCAAGTGCACACATAGTCCCCTGAATTATGCCAAGAAGTGATGTTGTTCATGCCCTCTCTTAAGACAGACATATTTTCTGCTATTTCTAGTGCAGATGTGTACCAAAATTAATTAGAACTACAATTCTAAAAGCGAGTGACTTGTCTGTTAGGTGCCAGTGTTCTTGGGTTGCTTCCAGCTTTAGATTTCCCTGCTGAATTTTGGCATTTAGACAAGTTTGCTGATCCAAGAACATCATCAAAGAAGCCTAGAAGTGGCTCCACTATAGGCTGTCATGAGACAGGCACCCTGTGGAAGTTACTGAATGCCATTAAAACTCTCAGCAGCTTGAAACAGCAGCTCCCACACTGCCTATCGATGACTTAAAACAATGGTCTGTATTATGGGCCAGACTCTGCCTCACTCTTATTGACTCGTGTCTTCTCCTTAAGGGGTTCTGCTCATTTCACTGGGGCTGCGGGTACAGTAAGGTACTGCTCTATGTAAGGGCTGGAGAATGGGGCATGAAGTGCTCTGCTGCTCCAAAGAACTATCCTGGGATCGTGAGTAGTGAGTTAAAGGCAAAGTAACCACCCTAGAATGGCTGCTTAGTTGGCAAAGCAAGAGGTTTCCAAGACCATAGTGCCAGGCTTGGATACCATGGACACCTACTCCTGCATGGCATGGAAGAGCTTTCTGCACTACTGCAGGTGTGGACTTCTCCCTCGACTTCCTGTGCATGCACAGCTGCATGATCTGTAGGCACCTGCCTCACCCCTCACCCATCTCATGCTTTTGCCATGGTAAGGAAAGAAAGGGCTTAGAACGGCGGGCTGACAATGGGGATTGCAGTGGGCTGGCCGTCTTGCACCCCATCTTATTGCTCCAGCTCTGAAGGAATAACTGGGTTTATGAACCTGAGGCAGCTGGCAGGACAAGGAGTGGGGCTGCTCCTATAAATCTTCCCTCCAGCACCCTTGACTCTCCCACTTTTCTGCCACTGCAATGTTGGTTGTGGCCTGGCACAAATGATCGTGTCCGATCACGTCTGTGGAAGTCACTGCTGCCTAGTGCCTGTCCTAGCTGAGGTGTGCCAGCAGCAAAGGGATGTCTTCAATGGAACGTGGAGGAAGCAAAGGCCACTGGCATGTAGTGGACAGACCTTCCCTCCTACACATTTTCACAATGAAGGGAGGAAAAGATAGCACATTAGGTACAATGACACTGTACACATCCAAGACTAGACTGACTTTGGGGCCTCACTCCAACCTCCACCGGCGTGTGCACACCATTTTGCACCCTCTCTCCCCCTGCACACACTCCTTGGTGCACTACCCTGGGTACTCTCCTCTAAAAGATTCCAACCCCTGCATGTGCCCAGGACAGAACGTTCATATGCAGTCCTCACTGGAAGGATGGCACTGAGGGCCTGATCTAAGGCTCGCTCAAATCAATGGAGGATATTCACTGACTTCAATGGGTATTGGACGGGGCCTTGTAAGTTTGCCCCATCCAGAACTTTGCCTCCGAGACAGTCAGTTCAGGGAATGAAGCTTTGCTGTGAAGGAACACTGCCACTGACAAGCCTTGCAATCAGTCAGGCTTGGAATATAACGAAGCTGGTGGGACTTGTGCCCAGGAAGCTGTGGGCAGAATTGGCAAAACGTTCAAGTGTGCACATCCTAATTTACACCCCTAATTTACGCAGCCCCAGTGAAATGAATAAAAGTGGCTCTTTTTTAAAATCCATGGCGTGCAATGCCCACGTGACTTCAGTGGAAGCCCATTAGAGCTATGGGTACTTGAAGAGCTGGGAACCCAAACCTGGATTTAGGTTTTTACACCCAAGTTTGAAAATGGTAGGCTTAAGCCTCTAGAATAGCTTGGTTTTAAGTAGAAAAGAAGTCTTAAAGTAACTGCAGAGATAACTTAGCCCTCTTGTCCCCCCCCCGCCATGAGCCCATTCTCATTGAAAGAATCATAAACATAAAAAGATGCATCGCTGTGTTTCCATTTCCTGCCCGAGCTCTGTGGTCCGCTTCTTTGTTTCCAAGTGAGGGGAAAGGGATGTTGACAGGAATGTAAATGAAGCTGGACATGCACTTCACAAAAGGTGACAGCAAAGGAAAACCAATGGTTTTGTTTTATCAGAAGACCCACATTTCCCATCCTTGAGCATAACATTCAAAGCACTCTCACTTGCAGGGCCATTTTCTCAAAGTATGTTCTCTATTGGTCAGTTTGCGTTGCTTTAAAAAAATTTTTTTTGTGGCAAATGCTGGTTGCTACAACGCTGCAGCAATAAGATCTAGCTGAAATCCAAGCTCCTAGAGTCAGCTTTCAGAAACAACAACGATCCAGACTGGCTCTGGATGGCAGCAGTGCCATAGAACAGAGCATGTTTTCCTTAATACAGAGAGTGTGATGCAAACTGAGGTGGAAAGTGACTGCAGAAATACCTGATAAAACTGCAGAGGTATCTGAAGAAGTCCCTTCCATGGCAAGGCTGCTGTAGGCTTTGGTCTGACAAAGACTCAGTAATCCTAGATGTAAACAGAGGATTTTATCACCTAATTGTGGAGAACAATCCCTGGCATCTCCACCTGCTTGACTTCTATTGCAGTTAATATGGTAAAATACTTGTTAAATCTCTTAAAGGAGCAGAATGCGGCTATGGAGGGCATTCATTCTTTATATGGATTTAACAGCACAACACATATGCTAACAAACTTAAACAAAGGCTTTGTTTAAGTTTGTTAGCATATGTATTGTGCTGTTGAGTTGGTCAGGAGTCCTCTAGAGGGGAGAGGTGGGGGAGACGGAAGGTGTTGAAACAGTGTTTTTGAGTCTGTTTCTCCCCATTGGTCTGAATTATCGATGACATTCATACTGCATCACATCAAGTCCAAATCATTAGAGGAATGCCTCTGTTTGTACTGATCAGACAATGTTTGGATTCTGATGTCAGCCCAGTTCTACAGCCTGACAGGAATCAGGTGTTGTCCCCAGTGTACAGAGAATTCTTCTCTGCAGCCAAGCTAACGTGCATTTTGTTACCTGGAACTGGAACAGCAAAACCAAGGAAACAAATGCCTCCTTTTCCAGCTTTGTGGGTGAGAAAACTATAAGTGAAGATTATAATGCCAGACACTGACGACCTTAAACCAGCTGCCTCAGGAATCTGCCAAGAACTTTGCAGAAAATATGTTCCTCATCTTAGCAACGGAGCTAAGACTTACCACACATCTGCCCACCTTTATTCGAATGAAGCTCCTTCTGATCTGACAGCTTGGGCATTGTCAGTTTCATCCAGAACAATTTACAAACTTGGAATCTAATCCTGTAAACCCTTAATCATTTGATCCGTCCCATTGAAGACAATGAGACTATTTGCATGGCTATGGACCACTGTAGTCAGTGAGGGTATACTGGCTGGCACGCATTCAGGTTAATGGGCTTCAGGGTTCCTTTGCAGTTAACTTTTTAATGTTCATAAACCTGGTATATGCTGAGGTGGTTTGAAGCTGTCAAGGTTCCTCCCCCACTCTGAACTCTAGGGTACAGATGTGGGGACCTGCATGAAAAACCTCCTAAGCTTATCTTTACCAGCTTAGGTCAAAACTTCCCCAAGGTATAAAATATTCCACCCGTTGTCCTTGGACTGGCCGCTACCACCACCAAACTAATACTGGTTACTGGGGAAGAGCTGTTTGGACGCGTCCTTCCCCCCCAAAATACTTCCCAAAACCTTGCACCCCACTTCCTGGACAAAGTTTGGTAAAAGCCTCACCAATTTGCCTAGGTGACTACAGACCCAGACCCTTGGATCTTAAGAACAATGAACAATCCTCCCAACTCTTGCACCCCCCCCCTTTCCTGGGAAATGTTGGATAAAAAGCCTCACCAATTTGCATAGGTGACCACAGACCCAAACCCTTGGATCTGAGAACAATGAAAAAGCATTCAGTTTCTTACAAGAAGACTTTTAATAAAAATAGAAGTAAATAGAAATAAAGAAATCCCCCCTGTAAAATCAGGATGGTAGATATCTTACAGGGTAATTAGATTCAAAAACATAGAGAACCCCTCTAGGCAAAACCTTAAGTTACAAAAAAGATACACAGACAGAAATAGTTATTCTATTCAGCACAATTCTTTTCTCAGCCATTTAAAGAAATCATAATCTAACACATACCTAGCTAGATTACTTACTAAAAGTTCTAAGACTCCATTCCTGGTCTATCCCCGACAAAGAAGACTACAGACAGACAGACAGACCCTTTGTTTCTCTCCCTCCTCCCAGCTTTTGAAAGTATCTTGTCTCCTCATTGGTCATTTTGGTCAGGTGCCAGCGAGGTTACCTTTAGCTTCTTAACCCTTTACAGGTGAGAGGAGCTTTCCCCTGGCCAGGAGGGATTTCAAGGGGGTTTACCCTTCCCTTTATATTTATGACAGAAGCATAACACAGGTTTTTAGATTTGCAAATCTGTGAACCTCTGCCTCGTTGAGATTTTATTATTTCTTTTCTTTTTTCTTTCTTTTTTTTTTGTTGCTGGTCATAATGGGGGAGGGTATGTATGTGTCTTGTAACACGCTTCTGAACACCAGCTGGAAGGAATTTAGGCTAAACAGAGTCCTGTCACTCATGCCATCTCTGCTGTTACGTAACCGATAACAAAACTCCAGTGGGGCACGGTGCTGGCACACAGGGTCTCAGATTTTTCATGTGGTGTGATCTTTTCCCCCCCAGAATCTTTTGGGAATTGTCATGTACAGGAAATAGCTGGTACTTATGATTATGCTTTTTCTATGCATGTATCACAAGGTATTTAGCCAGCACATGAAAGGACAAGTCAAGTTGAGTGGCCCATTAAGGAACACTTAGCTCACAAGGGACCGTGGAAAATGCCTGTCTACACCTAATGGACTTTTTGTGAACGTTCTAACAAGACTATGGGTGGGGGTGATGGACATGTAACTTGCTCATGTGACTCCAAACACCATCTTTCACAATGAGACCAGATTTCCCTTTACTTGGCAGAAGCTAAAAGGCCCTGGTCTGGAAACATCTCCGTTTGGCCTCTTTCCTGCTCTGGCCTCTGGACTATGAACATCTACTAATGGGAGCATCCTAACTAAGGGACTGAGGGCTTTAAGGTAATCTGGAGCCTTCATATTTCCTTGGTCCTTTGCAGATGGATTTATGAGTCGGATATGGTACAGAGACTGTTCTAGCCTCAGTGATTGCTGATTTCTCCCTTGCAGTGAACAAAGATCAGATGTCTGCTGACTGTCTCACATGAGTCAGCAGCCTTTGATACCTGTGGTATAAGCAACATAGCCCTTGCTTAAGTGGTTTTGTTATTTCCTCGCCAAGTGTCAAAGCCTGTTCCCATTGAACTCAAAAACAAAACTCCTTTTGATCTCAATGGGAACAGGATTTGGCTCCAAGAGATCAGAGAATGTGATTTTGATCAATTGCTTATCTGTCCAGAGACAGTTCTCATGCATGTTCTACCTGGCTGATTTTGATTGCCCCTCCTGTATGTCATGCTGAGGAAAATAATAAAACAATTTGGGCTGTAGTTCTATCAAGATGTACATGTCACACACCGTTCTATGCCTCTTTTCCACCAAACCCAGATGGTGCAGCATCTTTGCTTTCCTGGCGGAGAGCGATATTTAGATAAAGGCAAGCTGGCAGAATCTTAGTTTGGACGTAAGGGAGGTATTGATAGTGTGTTAAGGGAAAGTGGGGTGATTGTCCTTCCTATCCTTCTTTCATTTAAGAAGTTTTCAATTTGGGGTGCTGGAAGGAGTCTTCAATGACTCCTGGAAGTACAGGTGGCACCAGGGGCCCAAAGCATCATTTTACAACTGCATCTGTTTAACGGATACAGTTGTAAAATTTTAGACAGGTAAGGGGGGGTGTTGAAGGGGACAGGGAGAGTGTGGGGGCCTTGGGCTGGGGTCACGTGCTCCCCCTTGTGTCCCCCCATGAGAGCAGTACCGGCAAGAAACGATTGCTACTTGCACCACTGCTGTTGACCCACTCTCTGAGCAGCAGTTGGAGCCCCACGTAGACCTACTGATGTTCTCCTGACTCCTGGGGACAGCTGCAGCTTGTTAACTCCACCTGCAGTATAAGGGGCTCTCTAGGGAGTGGGGACTAGGGATGGATGGAAACCCGAGAAACAGCTACACTCAGGCCGAGAGTTGTTAAGTTACCATAAAGGCAAACACCAGGAAGAGGGGTGAGTTTGGACCATGGATCAGGGGTCTGCAAACTCTGTGCAGGATGGGGACAGAGGGAGAGCTTGTTCACCACACAGAAAACTCCCTGGACACTACAAGGGAAAAGCTGCATTCTTTTTTATTGCTCAGCAATGCCTGTCTGTAATAGCTGGAGCAAACTGCTCTGGTTTGAAGAAAGAGCTATTGAAATTTGATGTAACAATCTCCCTCAGTAATACTGACATGAATCCAAGTGCACAGGGCTCCTTGGGAGCTGTAAAACCTTCAAAATGACCTCAAATAGCTTTTCTGCACATTTGTCTGAGATCTGGGAACTTCCAGGGTTAGAGGCAGGTGCTGTGTATTTCAATAGGAAGCTGAGAATCTCCCCTTCTCAGAATTCTTGAGCTCCCTTGCCCTGCAGTTGTGAGAGCAACTTTAAACTTACCACTGGGCTATCATTAATGTCATGCACTGTATTGGATTTGTGTCATGTAAGGTATCTTTGGAAAACTAACATCACACTGATCATTCATATTCCTGCGTGGTGTATGTATGGTAAACGCTCAATGGACCATACCAATGTGGGAGTAAAATGTGTTCCCCAGACTTACATGGGAAGGGGGGAAACGGGTTTCTCCCAGACAAATGATGAGCCAACGCCTCCAGCCAAGATTCATCAGGGTCCTTTGGCAATCCTATGGCAAGTGGTCATTCCTTTGCAATAGAGTGGGCAGGAACAGATCAATTAGGGGTATGGAACAACTTCCGTATGAGGAGAGATTAATAAGACTGGGACTTTTCTGCTTGGAAAAGAGACGACTAAGGGGGATATGGTAGAGGTCTGTAAAATCATGAGTGGTGTAGAGAAAGGAAATAAAGAAGTGTTATTTACTCCATCTCATAGCACAAGAACTAGGGGTCACTAAATGAAATTAATAGGCATCAGGTTTAAAATGAACCAAAGGAAGTATTTCTTCACACAAAACACCGTCAACCTGTGGAACTCTTGCCAGAGGGTGTTGTGAAGGTCAAGATCATAACAAGGTTTAAAAAAAAAATAGATAAGTTCATAGGAGATAAGGTCCATCAATGGCTATTAGCCTGGATGGGAAGTGATGCAAAACCATGCTCTGAAGTGTCCTCTTTTTGCCAGAAGCTGGGAATGGACGACAGGGGATGGATCACGTGAGGATTATCTGTTCTGTTCATTCCCTCTGGGACACCTGGCATCAGCCACTGTCAGAAGACCAGATACTGGGCTAGATGGATCTTTGGTCTGACCCAGTACAGCTGTTCTTATGTACTTACCAATTTGCATTATAGCAAACACCAGCAGGAGGAGAAACCAGCTTCTCCATCAGACTCAGTATCTCCTTCCTCACAGTTTGAATGAACTTTATTTTGGGGGCTAACCTTCAGAAGAATCCATTTCAGATGTTCACTGGACTGTAAAGGAGGAGCAAAGGGAAAGTAAAACAAGTTTATTTACTTACAAAGAGGTTTTAAGTGAGATCATTTATAAGGGATAAAGATTGAAATTATTACAAATAAAAGTTAAACAGGCTTTCTAAAGCTAAAGACTTTACAAGCTATTGCCTAGGTACCAGTTAGGATTCAGACCCCTGGGGGGACACTGCTATTTACCTCTCTCCATTCTGACAACTGACCGTATATTCCTACCCTGTGTTTCCTATCTTTTAAACAGTTACCAATCCATGAGAGGACCTTCCCTCTTATCCCATGACCAGACCACTTCATTATTTACCTCTCCCTCTATTTTTGTGTCCTGCAAACTTTATCAGAGTTTTTGTTTTCTCCCAGGAAGCTGATAAAAGATGTTAAATAGCGTAGGGTCAAGAATAGATTCCTACAGGTCCCCATTAGAAACACAGCTGTTTGATGATGATTCTGTTTACAACTACATTTTGAGACCTATGTTAGGTAGCTTTTAATCCCTTTAACATGTGCCATATTAAGTTTGTTTCTAGTTTTTTTTAAATCAAAATGTCATGCAGTATTAAGGCAAATACCGTACAGAAGTCTATGTATATTACATCAGCTCTATTAACTTTATCAACCAAATTTGTAACCTCAGTGGGGAAAAAAGATATCAAGTTAGTTTGACAGAATCCATTTTCCATAACCCATGTTGACTGGCATTAATTATATTACTCTCCTTTAATTAACGTTGTTTGCTTTTTCTCTTAGCTGTAATGAGGGTAACTCCTGTTAGCCAGAGGGGTGTATTGGCAATTCACCCTTTCAATCTTATTTTGTCACACAGCATATTTAGCAAGATTGGTGGGGCAGAAAAAGGAATCTTTCAATAGACAGGGTTAAAGGGGGCATTACTGGAAGAGTCAGGACAGAAATTAAAAACAGAGCTTGCCTGCAGATTGGCATCTTGATACTCAACCTCCAGCTCCAAGATACAGAGACTACACAAAATAATCCCATTGCATTTAAAAACGGCAAATGAGAAGATGTTTGGGAGGCAAAACTTTACTGAAATTAACATAAAGCCTCTTTTATCAGCAAGTGTAATCCTCAGTAGGAAAAGAATCCAAAATTTATTTAAAATCTCTGAATGACCAGCCTCTCTAATGTGAAGCAAGGATCCAAGTAAACGAATGATTTGCTTAAAAAATTCTGACTAATCTTGGGAACATTAAAATTAATGTAAACTTGTGATCTCAAGTTCTATCCACTTTAGATCTGGTTTCAGTAAGTAGATATAATTTGGAATGGGACCTGCAGCTGGCTTATATGCAAATACTCAGGGAACACAGCCCAGTGTTTTAATCAGGGAGTATTTAGGGAGGTCTGCTGCACCATTTTGTGTATAATCCATAAATACATTTTAAGTGAATTAAAATAGAAACAAATCCTATTTCAGAAGGGCAAAGAGCAACTGCGGAAACATTTTAAACAGGCCATTTTTCCTAAGCAAACAGTATTAAATTATAATAGATTCTGGTTACATCTGCTAATATTTTGAAAGTTACAAACCTTTGTTCTGACATGCCTGTGACTTTCCAAAACATCCCCCTTTTGTGTTGAAAATTTCCATATTGGGTTCTATAGGCTTTTGTTTACTTTGCAGAATCACTTCAGCACTGTAAGTTGTGGGAGAGAGGAAAACAAGTGAACTTTTCCCACTTAAACAACGATCTAGCCACTTTTTTAAAAACAACGCCCCCCACCACAACGAAAGGGCTACAGCAAAAATGCCTGTTGAAATGTGGCAAAGATACAGGCCCGCAATGGGTAAAGGGTCAGAGCAACATCATGGGATTCTAAAAGCCCCATAACCAACCAGAGAAGGTTCCTCCAGTCCCCCATAAGGCTGTCTTCCAAGGGCCGCCTTTCAAGTCTTGGTGTAGCAGATTTGCAGGGGAGTGGAGGGGCATGGTGGAGCAGAGCCCCTGTGCTGTCGAGTCTCCAGCAGGGTTGTGACCCATAAGGCAGCCTTATTGTAACTAGGCCCTAGGGTGTCGGCTGCCAAACAGCCCAGGGTCGGGAGGGTGCAAAGGAGACATAGTCATACCTTTGCCAAGGCTGTGAGTTCTGTGCTGAGCCTCGGACGGGCATATAGCATATCTTGTGTTATAGAACATGGTACCATTAACATTCAGGGTTTGTAAAAGGTGCCAGATCAACAGCCTGATGGGACATAACATTCACTGTCTGCAGCCTGGCTAGCTGGGGCAATGCCAGTTTGCTGACAACATCCAGTGACCAATTATATCACTGCTAAACCAAGCTACAGTATAGTACTTGTACGAAAATCTGGGTCACGCTGAAATTGCTGTGATAAAAATGGAGATCAGCTGTATCAAAAACCTTGGGTAGATCAATAAATAAAGCTCCATAAAGCTCTCTGGCTTGTACCTAGAGAAATCCCAATATTCCCAATGCACAGAGCTCTATTACTATAGATACCCTGAATGAGGTTCTAAATCCAGAATTAAAAGCAGTAATTTCCGTGGTGTATACATCGACTCTGGGGGCGTGATGTGAGTGGTGTCTGCATCGGTCATTCTTCGGAACATTTGCACAGGTGTGTGAGATTGGCTGGTAATTGTTCAGATTGCACAGTTTACCTAATTGAACTCAAGGAGTGGCGTGTGCAGCTTTGCTGAACGATGAGAAGGCGTGTGTTTAATAATGTCAGAGAGGAAAAGCACGTAGAAGAATGAGCTACAGTATTGGAACACCTGCCACACGATCCATTTAAGAGCTGGAGGTTTTTCAGTATTGTCTCCTTTCTGAAACTTCATTATTTCCTTCCCAGTAAATTACCTAGAGTAATATTCTGGAAGATTTTAGCTGACTCTAATGTAGAGATTGGAGTCAAGTAATAAGTTATGAACTCATAATCGTAGGTGGTCAGACAGAACTGTTTATCATACACAATTCATAGTCCTGTTCTTGTGGTACTTTTGCATTACCGACTTTTACTTCCCAGAGAGAGTGAGGCCTGTGACTAATCACTGTTATGGAGAAATTAGAAGCAAACGCACACGGTTCATTATTCTGTGGTTTCCTAAAATCAGCTGAGAGTGATAAAGACTCTGAGGTAAAATCCTGCCTCCACTGAAGTCAACAGCACGACTCCTATTCACTTTAGTGGGGGGCAGGATTTCACCCAGGAGTCCAAATCCTCCATCCTTTGTGTGGTGCATTTTCCCCCTCTGTGTCTGATCCACAGAGTCTGTGACTCTGTTAGTCCCAGCAATGGAGCCTGGCTCTTTAGCACAAGCTGTCGAGTCTCTGAGGAGGTTCCTGGGCAAGCCACCATTCCTGTGCTGCTACACTGGAAACTGAGCTGGGATCTCTAACCGACCCCACCCTCCGGATCGGGCACGCACTGACCAGCGGCTCCACTTGCCCACCCAAATCTCCCACGCCTGTGCAGAAGTATTGGGGTTGAATGAGAAACGTCAAACTGAGCCTCGATATAAGAAGCTAGATTGTTCCGTGGTTTAATCATTAATACTGACTTTCCCCCTAGGGCCTCAAGTTAAAATCTTGGCTTAAAGGTCAAGTGCAGGCAGGAAAGCACCCTGCCTGATCTGTCGCAGCCCTAGAACATGGAGCACAGTGACTGCTGCATTGCAGGGAAATAGGAGGGAGGCCCAAGTACACGTTTGTGACTGCTAAGCTCCTTGAGTGGCAGGGATTGCAGCAGATGGTGACAGAAAATGGGTGACTGGTAAATTCAATAAATGGACTGGGGAGATATGTGAAATATGATTGTATGGGTCACTTAATGGTGCAGTTCCCCAGATTCCCCTGGCCAGCGGCTTGGCAGGGAGGCAATTAATCGAATGAGATGGACAAGGATCTATGTTACCACACCTTCCCCAGCTAGGCATCAGCAAGTACATGCGACAACTACATTGCTTGTGATTGGCAGGGATTGTAGTGAAAAGTGACATGCTCCCTGGCCAGAGGCCCACCATGGAGGCAATTAAACAAGATGTGCAAGGATACATGACAGCACCTGTTGCAAATAGCACTGCGTGTGCACGATTAATGGCCACAGCGAATGGGAGAGGAGACAGTTGAATGTCAAGTCTTCTAAAGAGCCTGTAAATCTGGGTTGTGACTTTCTCTGCCAGTCAGAAAGGAACCCTGGTATTTTTAAAGCAGGGATGCCTACACATTCTCAGATATAATGCTGTTTTTGTGCAAAAGAGGCCAGGAAAAGATCTTCAGTGTCTTAAAATGTCCTGGGCCTGTTGATCTTCTGCATGCCTGAGTGCATGCTCTCAAGTGGTTGAAGACCAGAGCCCCAATTTAATCTAAGGCCCCCGGACTAATCCCAAATACTAAATATGTATCACACTCACAAATATGTGCGATACCAGCCTTCAGATCACATAATATGTGAGCCTGAAAATGGATAATCCGCCACCGACAGCTGATGTAATTTGACAGTGTTCTAAGATGTGACACGTTGGTCCAGTCCAAATGAGTGCTGAGCTGAAAACCGTCTCCACCAACCTAGTGACAGACTGCGCCTTGCGTGGGAAGCGATCTCATGACCAAAGGGCCTCAAGAACGGCAGCGATGAATTCCCCCTTCAGACATACCTGGCTCATTGGCTCGTTTGCTGGGATATCGTTTCTCACAGAGTGTTTTCCCCTTGTGATGCGCTGGGCTTGAAGGTGAACTGTGAAGAGATGAAAAGTAATTTTTTAAAGGATAAAAGCTATTAAAATTCAATTTAAGATGCCTTGCAGTTCAGACTCTTCCCCCCAGGCTCCTCAGACACCAGGAACTGAGCAAGACTCAATGCACACGATGCGATGGTAGCTCAGCTGTTTGTCCGCTGTCCTAGCCAGGCACCAACCCTTGCCAGCTTGGGGGACAGTCCCCAGGCCCTTCCGCAGAGGAGGGCTGCAGTCCTCTGCTCCTGTCCAGAAGCAGTTCCTCTAGGCTGCCGTGGCAGGACTGACCCATGACTCAGCTACCTGCAGTCCACTCTCTACTGCCCCTGCTGCTGTGACAGGACCTACCTCCCTGTGCATGCTGATCCTGCACTTATTCCCCAGCCCAGCTGCGTCCCGTCTCGCTCTCCCTTGCCATTAAAAACAGCCTCTGATCTACTGAAAGCTCCTCTGCTACCGGGCCCCGATATTTTTAAATGTTGCTGCTCAAGTCCCACCAACAGAGAAGTGGAGGCCCGGTTCTGTGGCTTCCAACAGAGCCTGGGGCAAAACTCCTGTTGATTTCAGTGGGTCAGGGTTGGGCCCATGGCTGAGGAGGCAGCTGGTGCTCGTGTCTGAAAGAGGAGAATTGTGAGTATCTGAGAACACCGGAGCTGGAGGGATCGCTATGTGAGGAAGGAGAAAAGGTGAAAATCTGATCGCTCGCTGGTGCAAGTGATGACTAAGGGAGATGCTCACAATTGAGATGTAATTCCAGGGGGTAAACCACAGGGGTGAGGGATGCCCATGACGAAACAATGTTAATAGGAGTTGTGGGAGGAAACGGAGAAGATTGATCCAGGAAGACTATCAGCAATATTTTTCAGCGGGGCGGTCTGATATACTGGTGGCGGTGTGGAGTTCCCCAGAGATGTGGCAGAAGGCTCCATTTGTTGTCTGGACTGGACAAAGCAGATGAAATATATTCTAAGGAAAAATCCCGCACTGGCAGGGAATATAGATGGCTTATCTCTAATGTCCATGGGCTCAATCCTTTTCCCAGTAAAGTGAATGGGAATGTTGCCATTGGCTTCCATTGAAGTCCATTGGGCCCCGTGTTTCTGAAAGTCTGTGCGCTTTTCGGTTTATACCGTCGAATTGGGAAAAGGCATTGTTTGGAATCTTTCATACGTGCCTGTAAAGAATAACGGGCTTACTTCACGGAAGCCTCCACTGATCAGTGCATGGTCAGTCAGCAAGGCAATGGAATATTTCAACTGAGGAAAAAACCAGTATTTTTATTCTTAACACTAAAGTTAACTCTGAATGAAGTTTGTTTTTGAACTTTTAAGAACTTTCCCAGAGTCTGGGGAATGCTTTCCTTGGGATGACCGTGCTGAACGGTGTTTACAGACTTCTGGGTATTTCACATTCCCTTCCGTGGCAGGCAGAGCTCATAGTACCGCTACCGTCGCTTCATTATTGTTACAGACACTTATGATGGTCTGTGTTACAGCAGTGTGAGTGCCTCCAGCCACGGTCAGGGTCCCATCGTGCTGCACAGACTGTCCCAGTCTCAGGGAACTCCTGGTCTAGGACTATGACAGGACAATATCATCTCCCTTCTCTCTTTCCGACTCAGAGAATGAGTCTGTGTCACACAGAACGGCCCCTTTCTGTGGTCTCCTGCTCTGTCTGGGACATGTGTTATTTTTTTTACTCTCTGCCAAGGTAGGGTATTTTTAGAAATGGTGGCACTAAATTTGCCTGCTACAGCAGAAGCACTCCGAGTGTGATTGCTTCTCCCCTGCGTCTCTTTGCTGGGGTCTCTGGCACAACTCCCAACAGGGGTTTCTAGGTCACAGTGGGTATAAGATGGAGGGCGATAGGAACAAGGTGGGAGAAGGAGATGCTCCTGCTCTATGCACAGATTCACCTTCCTGTTGCTCATAATTGTTAGCCAGGAGGCACTGGTTTCTCTGGCACTGCTCACTTTCTCCCCCAGCTCATTCCTCGTTTGCCCCTTTCTCACGTTGTAAGACTTCTTCCCTGTCTCTACAGGGCTCTGTAGATTTGTGGCGTCCTCTCCCCTTGGATCGCCAGGATCTGCATGGCTTGGGGGCCTTACCCCTTCCAGATTCAACAGCCTTCCAACCCCCTTCCCCTCGAGGGCACAGAAACGCACCCACTGAGCATCCCTGCCTCTCCTCCACTCTGTCAGGAGACGTCATAGATCCATGCTGGTGTCCCTTAGGGTAACATCTTTCCCTTGTCCCCATCCAAATGGGGGATGGATTTGCTCAAGATATGCAGGGAAACATACATTATCTCTTGGCATTTACATCTCTGCCAGCCTGTCTAATCAGTCACCGAGCAGGTCCTGTCGGCAGGTTCGCCTGAGCTGAGTGCCTTGTTTTGATTCAGCTCTAAGCCAATGATTGCACTGTTACCTTTTATAAGGGGGGTTTGAAATCTAGCTTGCTGATTGTTTCTCTGGGTCTATCATGTACTTGCTTTCTGATAACTAACTGAAAAGCTTAAATCAACTCATTCGATCAGGATTTTGTCACAATGGGCTAGGTAACTTCAGCCTATTTCTGACAATTTCAAAAAAGACTTATATTTTTCTTCCTGGTGCTCATGTTGGAACTTTCCCCTTGAAAGGTCTCCCTGGTATGAAAGCGAGTGCTGGTTCCAGTCTGGAGAAGACTCCTTTCAAGACCAGCTTGGTCCTCCTTGATCTTTGTGCTCCGGCACCTTCCATTTAGCTGGTAAGAAAAACTGCTGCTGGATGACTGAAATGCCCTGGGACCCTTTATTCAGGTATTCAGTACAGCTGCCACAAGGGTACTGTTTGCCACAGTCATCTGAGTATTTGCCATTCTTTGCACCAGGCAAAAGGCAAAGTTTCTCCCAATTTCCATAGAATTGCTAAACAAAAAAAAGGAATGTCCCTGGTCTTACAGTGTGTGCGAACCCTTCCCCGCTCTGCTGTAGCAGCGGGTTTTCATCTGTATGTCCTGCAGTGCTCTTATTCCAAACCTCAGCACCTTGCTGATCTGAGGTACAGACAATGCACTTTCCCTTCATGGACCGAAGTTTCGTGTGGTATCAGCTACCTTCTTCCAGCTGTTGATGAAAGTGTAGGAGACTTTCCTTTCTTTAAAAAGAAAAGGAGGACTTGGGGCACCTTAGAGACTAACCAATTTATTTGAGCATGAGCTTTCGTGAGCTACAGCTCACTGCATCCGATGCATATGAAGTGAGCTGTAGCTCATGAAAGCTCATGCTCAAATAAATTGGTTAGTCTCTAAGGTGCCACAAGTCCTCCTTTTCTTTTTACGAATACAGACTAACACGGCTGTTACTCTGAAACTTTTCCTTTCTTTGGCAATCTTACAAGTGTGTGAAAGTCACCACTACAAGAAAAAGCAAAGCAATATTGTGAACTAAAATGATTGGCGAACTGGCTGACAAACGCTATGGGAAAATGATCTTTAGTATGTACATTAACAGCTTGCAGTTTCAGAGAATTCCTTTTTGAGTTGAAATGAGTGGCCCTTTTGTTCTCTTTGCAGAGGTTCGTTCTCACAGCAGGGAGAGTGTACGAAAAGGCAGAATGGTACCTTACAGATGACAGTGTGATCAGTTAATTTCAACCTCAACTTAAAAGGCATCATTTCATGTGTGATTCCTCACAATCCTCAGTCCATCACTTGCAGGGCCCCGAAGAGAGCAAGAGAGCATGTGCCCTCAGCCCCAACCACTCCCACAAGACCAAATGCATTATCCTCTCCAACGCCCCATCTGAACTGCGGCTAGGAAAAAAAGAACCGGAATCCTTTAACTCCCCCCCCTTCATAAAACATAAAAGCAGCAACAAAGAAGGCTGCAGAGAGCAGCAGGAAGATCGCAAAGACTTTCACAGAGAACAGAAGGAAGCTGAACTTAACACACACAAATGGAGGATTATTCTCATCCCTGCCATGCGGTTTTCTGTAACGTTGAGATGGAAGACAAATGATCTGGCTGCATCAGCCTTTTGGAATTGGCCAACTATGCTCTGCGATCACTTGGATTTTTTTCTTTTTTAAAATAGCCACATTTTAATTATAATTTTAAAAAGCAAACAGTATTAACCTGCCTGGCATGCAAACAGATAACACACAGCGTACGTGCTGTATGGAGAAGGATTAATAAGAGTGACAGTGAAATGGAATCACACTGCTATAAAGGATGCACATACAAATACACGCTACAAATGAATGGGGAAATGAAACCTGAGCCCAGCTGGCACTGGGAGAAGAGGTAGAGCTTAACAAATCTCTCACTGGCAGGGGAGTGGGCTAGATGACTGGATCGAGCTTTTCTGTCTCTGATTGTGTGCTGTTTGTCGATGCACAGATTCTGTACCACTAGGTCAGTCAGAAGTGATGGGTCAAGAGAGGAACTGGAGCAGAACCAAATTGACTGCCATTTACTGAGATCTGTGGTGGACCAGAGGACACTCCTTTATCCCCCAAAAAACATCTGTTTCCCTCCGGCCCCACTCCTACAGGGGGCAGGGCCCAGGGCCCGTGCACCATGCCATGGGAAACAGCACGCTCCCCCTCACATTTGGCTGATCTCCAGGGAAGGTTTGCCTGGTGTTATCATGCCTCTGCCTGTTATGACTCACCTCTCCTGAAGGACAGAGCACAGCGAGGGTTGCCATCTTTCTGATTGCAGAAAACTGAACACATTTGCCCCACCCCCTGACCTGCCCCTTCCTCAAGCCCTGCCCCCCGCTCACTCCATTTCACCCCCCTCCATTGCTCATTCTCCCCCACCCTCACTCACTTTCACCGGACTGGGGTAAGGGGTTGAGGTGTGGGGGGGTGAGGGCTCTGGCTGGGGGTGCAGGGCAAAGATGAGGGATTTGGGATGTTGGAGGGGACTCCAGGCTGGGACGGGGGTTGGGGTGTGGGAGGGGGTGCAGACTCTGGGAGGGAGTTTGGGTGCAGGAGGGGGCTCAGGTCTGGGCAG